AGATCACAGTCACTCAGACACTATCAGTCACTCAGATCAGTCACTCATACTGAGTCACTCAGATACTGGCAGTCACTCAGATACAATCAGTCACTCAGATACTGGCAGTCACTCAGACACTATCAGTCACTCAGATAATGACAGTCACTCAGAAACAATCAGTCACTCAGATACTGGCAGTCACTCAGATACTGGCAGCCACTCAGACACAATCAGTCACTCAGATGTGGACACTCACTCAGACACAATCACTCAGATACTGGCAGCCACTCAGACACAATCAGTAACTCAGATACAATCAGTCACTCAGATTCTGGTAGTCACTTAGACACAATCAATCAGTCACTCATAGACAATCAGTCACTCATACATTATCAGTCACTCAAACACATTCAATCAGTCACTCAGATACTGGCCGTCACTCAGATACTGGCAGTCACTCAGATACTGGTACTCACTCAGACACAATCAATCAGTCACTCAGAGACAATCAGTCACTCAGACATTATCAGTCACTCAAACACATTCAATCAGTCACTCAGATACTGGCAGTCACTCAGACACAGACACTCAGATACTGGCAGTCACTCAGATACAATCATTTACCCAGATACAATCAGTCACTTGGATACTGGCAGTCACTCAGATACTGGCAGTTACTCAGATACTGACAGTAACTTAGCCACAATCAGTCACTCAGATACTGGCAGTCACTCAGACACAATCATCCACTCAGATACTGGTAGTTACTCAGATGCCATAGCTGGGTGCAGTTCCAGCAGACAAAGACCCCTGAGGAAGTGCTGCAGCTGTTCCTGTTGGAACATTTCTACTATGGGCTACCCACAGAGATTCAAGATTAGGTAAGAGACCGACAGCCTAAGACCCTAAGCCTAAGAACGGAAGCAGCCCAAAAAGCAGATGAGTACACAGATACCAGGTGACCCCAGTGTCCGGCGATCACCCCAATCCACCAACCGCTAGTACACCTGGCACCCCAGTTCACCTCCCCTGCAGCCACCCCACCCTGAGGCTCTCCGGCTCCCACGCCAACCCAGAAGGCCCCAACCCGGGCAGCCCGGTCCATGTCACTAGTGCCACCAGTGGGGCCATTACAAGAGGTATTGCCTCCAGGTGAGGAACAGGTCCACGTGGTCCATGGGGTCCACGCCCCAACCCCAATGAGGAAGCCTGGAGCGCCCTGCATGATCAGTCACTATCAGTCACAGACCCCATACAGGCTGCCACAGATATTCGGTCCAGCTGAATGGATTCCAGGTGCAGGGTCTGCTAAATTCTGGAGCCACGTTGACCCTTGTGCAGCACCAGCTCATTTCAGAGAAGGATCAGAGCAGAGAAACTGTTGCTGGTTGAGTAGCGGGGGGAGGAGTTCACCGCCTGCCCACAGCCCAGGTCCATCTCGATTGGGGCGCCGGGAACTGAGTAGATGAACAACCTACGTTGCTGGGCAACAACCTCCACCTACGCCCCCAGGAGGCCTATCCAGTGACAACCTGGAAGCAAAACCACACCACCCAGGGCAGCTCACACTCCGAGGCTCAGGTAGGCACACGCAACCATCCCCATGCCCCAATTTCCGGTAGCTGTCCCAGGCGTACACAACCCTGTGCCAGGCCCCTTCATCCTATTCCCAATGGCCCTACTCCTACCCCGACACCCTGGGATACCCCTGCAGAGTTTGGGAGGGAGGTAGTTTCCGACCCTTCCCTGAAGTCCTGCAGAAATCAAATTGCCACTAGTCAAGCTGGGATGGATAATGAGTGGTTCACAAGGGAAAAGGGTTTACTGTATCACCTGGTACAGAAAAGAAAATCAGGGACAGCTCCTACTACCACCAAATGGATTCCTGCATGTTGTAATGGTTCCTGAACGGCTAAAGGAAGGGAAATAGCAGAGGTAACTGGTCAGGTTACCCTTGGTCTGCTACATTGACACTCACTCAGACACTGACACTCAATCAGAAACTGATACTCACTCAGATACAGACACTCACTCAGACACTGACAGTTACTCCGATACACACACTCACTCAGACACCGATAGTCACTCCGATACAGACACTCACTCAGACACCGACAGTCACCCTGATACAGACACTCACTCAGACATTGTCAGTCACTCCGATACAGACACTCACTTAGATACAGACACTCTCTCAGACACTGACAGTCACTCAGACACTGACACTCACTCCGATACAGACACTCACTCAGACAGTCATTCAAACACTCACTCAGATGGCCAGACACCCTTTTCAGAGCTAGTGGAAGTGTCATGCACACTGGGCCAGCACACACCTGCCTCCCCCCATTTCAGTAAGCTTTATTACAGTTTATTGTGAAGCACTGAAAACTGCATGTGTGTGCATGCACGCTCATGGCTCCAGCACACATTCTTCTCAATGAGAATCCTCTGATTGGTGTATTACCCAGGAAGTATCAAAGGAAGCTACTGAAGATAGCTCATGATATCCCCCCTGGGAGGGCATTTGGGACAGTGTCACCCAAAGCCTATTTTGGCCAGACATCTCCCAGGACGCAAAGCGATACTGTCAGTCCTGTAATGTCCGCCAGAGGGTGGGGAAGCAGGGCAAATGGCACAAGGTCACGCTCCATCCTCTACCCATCATTGAAGACCCCTTCGGCAGAGAAGCTGTCAATATCATACGTCCCCTGGCTAAGCCTAGTCCCTCAGGGAAGAAATACATTTTGACTATCATAGACTACGTGACTCGGTACCCTGACGCAGCCACCCTGAGCAATATTCAAGCAGAGACTGTAGCCGAAGCCCTGATGCAAATGTTCTCCTGTTTGGGTTTTCTCCGAGAGATTGTCTCGGATCGGGGCACCTAGTTTACCCCGAGGTAACCCACCAGCTGTGGAAGTTATGCGGCATTAAACCCATCCTGAGTTCCCCATGCCACCCCCAGACCAATGGCCTGTGCAGATGCTCGGTACCTTTGCCATGACTCGCAAGGATTGGGAGAGGTTCTTGCCACATCTACTGTTTCTTATCGGGAGGTGCCTCAGGAATCCAGGGCCCATACCGGATGGTGGACAAGAAGTGGGCCTTTACCTATGTGAGTGGCCCTTGCTCGGGTACAGGAGTTAGGGCTTCATGCTAAAGCCCTACCATGAGCGGACAGAGGAGGTCGCCGCTATATGTGCACCCGCCTCAGAAGACTTTGATAATCTTACCCTGCCCGACTCCTGGAGCATGGAGCTCAGGCAGGGTCCATAGACAAGGTCCACTTGGGGGACCAGCTGACTGAGCCGGAGTGTAGGCAAGCTTCTTAAACTTGCCAGGGTGTACCCTCCTAGTCACCCACCGGCTAAAGACCCCTGACCAGCTAACTGAGGCAGACCCCTTACTGGATACTGGATGGCGGTCCAGGAAAACATGAAGCAGGAGATTCAGGAGATGCTGTCCCAAAGCCATTGGGCCTCCCCAGTAGTCCGGGTCCTGAAACGGAACCACCCAGGTCTGTGTGGACCCTTAAGACGCCGTGGTAAATGCTCTTGTCCTGGCTGCTCCTCATCCCTGCAAACGGTTTCTCATCCACACAGATGCTTCTATGTTTGGATTAGGAGTGGTGCTGAGCCAGGTCGGGGACGATGGCAGAGAACACCCAGTAGCTTACCTCAGCAGGAAGCTACTCCCCCGGGAGGTGAGCTACACCGCCATTGAGAAGGAGTGTCTGGCGGTGGTGTGTGCACTCAAGAAGATGCAACCCTACATCTATGGACAGCAGTTTACCCTGCTCACAGATCACAACCTGTTGGTGTGGATTAACTGGGTCGTGGGAGACAATGCTAGGCTGTTGCGATTGATCCTGGCACTCCAGCACTATGACTTCACCAAATGCTACCGACCCGGTGGGCAAAATGGGAAAGCTGATGGGTTGTCAAGACAGATGGAACTGGAGAAGTGATCTGTGAGCCCTTCCCCGGATCTGGCCGTTAAGGGGGAGCTGGGTAGGGGAACCGTGGCTGTTCATGGTTTTCCCCTTCCTCCCTCCCTCTTCAGCTTCTTGGGATTGAAGCCCCTGATGTTTTTGTGTTGGAGACCCCATGTAGGGGTATGTGTCTGTAAAAACCATGAGTACAAAATAAACAAAGTCAGTCAGTGTCAGTCCAGTTACTGGAGGGAAAATGGATTCCTGCATGTTGTAATGGTTCCTGAACGGCTAAAGGAAGGGAAATAGCAGAGGTAACTGGTCAGGTTACCCTTGGTCTGCTACATTGACACTCACTCAGACACTGACACTCAATCAGAAACTGATACTCACTCAGATACAGACACTCACTCAGACACTGACAGTTACTCCGATACACACACTCACTCAGACACCGATAGTCACTCCGATACAGACACTCACTCAGACACCGACAGTCACCCTGATACAGACACTCACTCAGACATTGTCAGTCACTCCGATACAGACACTCACTTAGATACAGACACTCTCTCAGACACTGACAGTCACTCAGACACTGACACTCACTCCGATACAGACACTCACTCAGACAGTCATTCAAACACTCACTCAGATGGCCAGACACCCTTTTCAGAGCTAGTGGAAGTGTCATGCACACTGGGCCAGCACACACCTGCCTCCCCCCATTTCAGTAAGCTTTATTACAGTTTATTGTGAAGCACTGAAAACTGCATGTGTGTGCATGCGCGCTCATGGCTCCAGCACACATTCTTCTCAATGAGAATCCTCTGATTGGTGTATTCCCCAGCGCATGCTGAAAGTCTGTGTCAGGGAATGAGGGGAGGGCTTGCAATGCAGCTTCCAAACTGTTTTTTAATACACTCCCAAAATGTTCGGGGCTATATCTATTAAACAATTATAAAAAAGTAAAAAATGAATTCTGTGGAGTGTATCTTTAAATAGTGGGAGAGGAGAAAGCACCCTGGAGGGCTGGGGTAGGGGCGTTATACATAAGGCAATAACAGTTAGAGGAAGTGTCACGGTCTTGGTTAGCGTGAATGCAGTTGTTCATGGTTTCCCCCAGTTCTTATTTTGTGAGGGGAAGGCGAGAACCACTTGTAACTTCCTGTCCTGGGTGTAAAAAGCAGAATAAAGTGTGTGGGGGGTTAACAAACACAGAAGAAACTTCACCAACATGAAGCAGATTCTAAGACACGTCTTACAGACCTGCGTTCTTTGGCTGCTTATCGGTGAGCGGATTCTGACTTTGTTACTTTCAAAGGGGGCTCCACTGTGGTATACTGTATCTATGATTGCGAGCCCCTGTTAAGGAACGGACGCTGTGTTTCTGCCCCCCCAGTATAATTCTGTAGAATGTTTGCTGTTGGTTTGCAATGAATTCCCTGTGTTTAGATAATGTCCCAATGTGTGGAGTCTGGAGCTTCTTTGATTATCTCACTAGTTACATTGTTGTGGCAAGCGGCATTCTGTTGGGAATAATTAGACTAATATTTTAAAGTAGGATTGGCAATGCTGATACATTCTGCAATCTGCCGGGAAGGGCTAGAAAGTGCTGCTCCTGGCTTTTATTAGTTACATTTTCTTACAGTGGGAATATATTCCACACCCTGCTGAGCAGCATTTAAAATCCTTGCCTGACTGGCTGTAATTGGAGATTTTAATGGCACGTTCAATATCTGAAATGAATAAAATGTTCCACTTGACATCATTCTGCATTACCTTGATTATCACTTGGTGTTAAAACGGGGAACTCACCACTTTCCCCATTGGATTTATAAATTATACGAAGAAGTAATTGAATTAAAAACGTTTTTTCCAGCTCAGTTATTTGTCGTTTACTGATAAAATTCCCAACAAGTCGTGGTTTAGTGAATGTCCTTGGACGAGCTGAGTGGACGTTGAGAGAGTCCGGTGTATTGAGTTCTAGCTCTGTGATTTCTCAGTAGTGCCGCAGTGTTTCATAGTCTTTGATCTGATCTTTAAACATGCGCAGGAACCAAAGACGAGGCGTATGAGAGGTTTCAGTTTGACGTTTGAGTTTCCAGCAGATTTGCCCTATTTTACTGCGGAATGTTCCAGAGCAGACGTTCGTAAACCACATTTATTCATGTACAATAATCACTAACTCTGTGCTATATCGTCTATAAATCTATGGAGTTTCCCTTTAAATTCTATCAAATTATCTGTAAAATGGCTTTCTAAAATACCCAGGCTGTAAACATTTGAAGTTTGAGAATTTTTCTAAATCAAGACTTTTTACCTAAATATGAAGTTTGATTTTCTATTTCTCTACAATCCAGTGCTTACGGAATTTAACCCTTTTATGGCAATCGTGTCGCTAGTAATGGCAACCACACTACCAGGTCAATCAAAAAAACTAATTAAGGCTAATTTAGCAAAGATGCAAAATTATGAAAACTCCCCCCTCTATCAAACACAGAGATTATTCGTCTTCTCCACAATTTACATTTAGGATATGAACTATTTTGCTGTTTCCATATAATCATTATTATAATCCATTCAGGTAATTTACTTCAAAGAAGAGAATTTTAAATTTAAGAACAAAATAGTGAACTCTAATAATTCTCTTCGGCTATACTTTCAGTTCGGCTATTCTGGGCTTAGATTTAAAATGTATTCACTGTGAATTTTAACTTTAGTAGCAACAGAACTGATTATTTAACCCCTTGCATCCTGGAGGCAATGGCTGGACATGGTGTCAATCATTCTGTGGATCCAACTGAACTCACTAATTAGATTGTAGAAAGACAAGAAATAGTGAAAGGGTTATTCACTAACACACAGCTATTCACCAACACACCGTTAGTCACTTACACACCGTTATTCACTAACACAACGTTATTCACTAGCACACCGTTATTCACTAGCACAGTGTTATTCACTAACACACAGTTATTCATTAACACACTGTTATTCACTAGCACACCGTTATTCACTAACACACTGTTATTCACTAACTCACTGTTATTCACTAACTCACCGTTATTCACTAGCACACTGTTATTCACTAACACACTGTTATTCACTAACTCCCCGGTTTTTAACTAAGTCACTGTTATTCATGAACACACCGTTATTCACTAACTCACTGTTATTCACTAGCACACTGTTATTCACTAACACACTGTTATTCACTAACTCACCTTTATTCACTAACTCACTGTTATTCACGAACACACCATTATTCACTAACTCACCGTTATTCACTAACACACCGTTATCCACTAACTCACCGTTATTCACTAACTCACTGTTATTCACTAACTCACCGTTATTCACGAACACACCGTTATTCACTAACTCACCGTTATTCACTAGCACACTGTTATTCACTAACACACTGTTATTCACTAACTCACGTTATTCACGAACACACCGTTATTCACTAACTCACTGTTATTCACTAACTCACTGTTATTCACTAACTCACTGTTATTCACTAACTCACTGTTATTCACTAGCACACTGTTATTCACTAACTCACCGTTATTAACTAACTCACTGTTATTCACTAACCTTTATTCACTAACTCACTGTTATTCACTAACTCACTGTTATTCACGAACACACCGTTATTCACTAACTCACCGTTATTGACTAACTCACCGTTATTAACTAACTCACTGTTATTCACGAACACACCGTTATTCACTAACTCACCGTTATTCACTAACTCACCGTTATTCACTAGCACACTGTTATTCACTAACACACACTGTTATTCACTAACTCACCGTTATTCACTAACTAACTCACTGTTATTCTACTAGCTACACTGTTATTCACTAACACACTGTTATTCACTAGCACACTCACCGTTATTACTAACTCAACTCACTGTTATTCACTAGCACACTGTTATTCACTAGCACACTGTTATTCACTAACACACTGTTATTCACTTACTCACTGTTATTCACTAGCACACTGTTATGCACTAACTCACTGTTATTCACTAACATGATAATTCAAAGTGATTTGAATATTAAGCTAGAAAATGCAGAAGTAGAAACATTCTCTAATTCACTTTCAGGGTTATTTACCAAAGTGAGAATTCAAATTGGAAATAAAATTGCAAATTTGGAGCTAAATAGCTGCACGGGATAAATGGCCAATGCAGTTTGACTATTTTATTCTAAATCCTTGATTGATTAAACTAATTTGTGTTGGAAACAAATACCCTGGAAGTGTGTGTTGTTTGTTCTGTTTGAATATGAAGAATGATTTCTGGATCACATCCCCACGCTTTCCACCTCACTCTTGTTATATATTTTCCTCGAGGCGTGTTGGGATCTCTCCCTACACAGAGTGCTATGATGGCTTGACAACTGGTTTGCATTAATTAGTAAATCTCCTATAAACTGGTTTGTTTTATTTAATTGCCAAACTGGAATTCTTCAAGCCTGCTATGTTTTCATTTGACTATGACAGGCTGAAATGAGAATCTCGCTTCGAATTCCCAACAAGTCACGCTTTAGTAAATAGACCTGTTCACACATTGGTGAATAACACATTTGCATGTACAAACTTTTAGATGGAAATAAAAGCCATTTATAATATCAGAGAAACATGCGTTAGAGGCGTTGCAGCAATGAGCTGTAGTGGATCTCGTACTAAGACATATTTATGTAATGTATGTATTAATAAGACTTGCTTTCTGTCAGGATTACTGTTTGATCCAGCACGTAGAACTGTACAGCACGGATGACAAATAAGTAACGTATTACCGGTCCTTAGAATGGCCGGATTTAACGTACAAAGAATAGTCAAAAATACTAGCCGAGGTCAGGGAACACAGAAAGGGACACAGCGATGAGGAAAGCCAGGAGTCAGGATACCAGAATATAGAGAAGTCAATAAACAAAGCCAAAGTCAAAAACCAGGTAGAAAACTATAAACAGGAACGCGCTCTCAGACAACCACAAGGGAAACCACGACAGGGCACTGAGCAGGCTGAGAACTGGGCCTAAATACCCCTCCTTTAGTTCTGATAGGCTGTAACCGGCCTTTGACCCCAAAGTCAGTTACCAGGTTTCATTTGCATAATTGCTGCTCAGCATTAACCCTTCTGTGGATTAGGTTGCTGCTCGGCACAACTTTTCCTGTGTGGACAGTAAATGTCATTAACCACATTTCTATAACCGGATGAATATGTGACACTTTCCTGCCTCATTGTAGCCAGTGACAGACTCAGAGTGCTGCCATGTTGTCACAGCGAGAGTCACAGAGCTTGTCAGACTGCTCAAATGTATCCACATAATAGGGGGTGGGAGAAGTGGCAATGTTTTAGCTCAATTTATGTATCTGAGATGGGGGTGTCAGGGGAGAATTCCATCTCACAGAGCGGTCAGTCGGAGATATATATATATATTAATTATTCTCTTCAATGCAGGATTAGCAAACCTATAACGCCAATCTCTTTTATTGGAGTGTGGGTGGAATGCCCTCTCCTTGTTAGGTAGTCTCTATGCTGGTTCCTGTACAAACTGCATTATTTAAAGTCAATAACTTTCTTCTGTAATTGTATAATTCTCTCCCCCTCTCCAGGACCCATGCCTGACATTATCCCTCTTTAGTCCCATTTCTTTGGAACTTCTCTCGTCTCTCTGTTATGACATCCTGGATATTTTCAAACTTCCTACAAACAAACCAGTTAAAGTTAAAGTACCCACAATCAGTTCCCCATCTCCATCATTCCTTCTTCCATTCTCTGTTATTTCTTTAAAACCTAGGTGTTAACTTGAATTCTTCCACATATCCTCCAGTAACTCCATCTGCAATGTACTCCTCATTAAAAGTCCAAAATTCTATCCATTTACCTCCTTTTCAACCACCTTCCAAATTACAATTTATCAACGTTACATCTCAATATCTCTCCTCACTCTCCGCTTGCTTCAACCCATAACCCTACCTGTCCTGGCCCTTTTCTTACCTCCACATCCCTCAACTCTTCCCAGCTTCCTTCTACTCACACGTCTTGCTACAGTGTCCCATCTCTCCACTATCCCACCTCTACAATCCATTCCTCACTCTTATATACCTCTTACTTATTCTATTGACCCCCTCCCCAGGTAACCTTCCAGTGGGCACTTTTTGTGAAGCCCCAAAAATGTACCTATTCAAAAACATCTTCTCCTTTGTTTCAAACAGACATACATTCCTAATAATCTAAGCATGGTTTTACGACTTACCTGACATTCCACCAAGCACCAGTCACCTCCTATTGTGCATCCAGAAGCTCTTAGTATTTACATAGCTCAGTGGAGCTAACAGAAGCTTCTTGCTGGACCTTCCACCTTCACAGGAAACTGAGAGCAAAGGAAATTTGTCAAACCTTCCACATTCAGTTTCACTACTTAGACAGGGAGGGCTTCAGATCACGTCTGGCACCATAACCACTACAACAGAATGTAGTGGTTATAGTGCTTGGAGTGTTCTTTTATCAGTCCACTTTCAACAGCTGTTCTGATGGCATTCCCATCTCGGTCTAATGTTTGTGTACCTATCAGGATGACAACCACGTGTTCTATCATCTACTGATAGCTAAGCTTGTCTGATTCCACCCGAACCCTCAGTGTTTGTATTCCTGTGTCCAGTCTCTGTTCCTAACACTCTCTTTTTTTATTGCAGGCCACACACAATCATCAGACCCAGGTAAAACAATCAAGACGTATTGCAATATTTAGTTATCTATCTTATAATTTAATATCTTAAGCGGAACGAAAGAATCGCTTTATAAAGTGTGTTGCAGAATTTTTTTGTGGTTGACATATACAATGTGTAATTGTATATTATAGAATAATTTATTCCTGCTAGATACACCGACCATGGCATCATATTACTGCATTGTATTAAACAATTCCATATCTGGATATTTTCAATCAAATTCCCAAACTCAGAGCAGAAATGTAACCGAATCACAAACCAATTAAATAGAGCAATAGCCGAGCAAAATCATTTTCATTTGTGATTCTGGATTCCGCCCATGGCAATAATATATAGAGATGATTGATAACTAGCAGGGGACAGTCAAAGCTACACACAGACACACACACTTACACACAGACACACACACTTACACACAGACACACACACACACACTTTCTGCTCGTCCCTCTATTGCTTACTTTTTCTGACTTGATCTGGAAAACAGATGGCGGGAACATTCTCCTATCAGTCTACGGCAATATATATTCATATTATATTATCAATATTATGCACATGTTTTGCAACCCACTGATTATTTGGTTTGTCTGATTTGTGTCCAAATTGGGGTTTTGGTTCTGAAATTCTGCCGTGCACAAACCAACATATTGTCAAAATTTGGGCATCCTAGAAACATGGTTCAGATGAACTGAATTTTCTGTCTGCAGACAGTCTAGTCCAAGGGTAGGCCAGTCCTAGTTATTAAAATTGAGGTGTGCAAGTTGCCAGATTCTGCTTGTGTTATTTATACTGCAGTTGCTTTGTATCATTTTATTTGTGCGTATATCTTCGTGTATAAAACCTATGAATGTGGGTTGTGTATGTGGGAGGCTGCTTGTGGAATTGTGTGTGAATGCATATGTCACATTGTGTGTTTGGTAGTGGGTGTATGTGAGGGGCTGTTTGGGGTATTGCATGTGAGAGGCTGCATGTATGTGGATTGTCAGTGGTGTAGAGTTTGTGCCGATTGTGTATTGTGTTTGTGTGTTGGCTGTTCGTATTATTTGTATGAGGGGAGGGTTATTCTGCAGCTCTGTGTATATCTAGCAGTGTGGATGGCTTCCCTGGGTTCCAGTGGGGACCAGGCTGGTCAGGTACAGCTCAAGGACAGGATCTGCAACAGCAGCTGCAGGCTGCACTACTACTGTGTGGATACCCATTCACAAGTGCTGGGAGGAAGTAATCTGAGATCACTTACTCTATGTGCTGCAATGCATAAATTGAGGATTGTGCTTCACCACCTCTTCATATTAGCAGATATCTGAAGTTTCTCTGGGACTCCTGATAGGCCAGAGTGCGTTTGGCTCTAGCAGCCTCGAGTGCCGTGCATGGCACACATGCCATAAGTTGCCTACCCATGGTCTAGTCCTTCACTTAATCTCTTTCTGCCACCAACTGGACACAAATACCTCTTAGTTACCTCTGAATGTGTAGCTACAAACTGGAGAGAGCTGCAGAATAAATGAATATAGAGTTTCCACCATTTACCTCTGTACCAATTTTGGTGCCAAAAGACAGAATGGGCAGCCATTGCCAGCCTTTGAGAATAGACATTCCCTTGCATTCACAGTGGCGGCCATTTTGGAAGTATACATAGTATTTTAATGTACGCACTGACTGCTCAATGCTTACATTCCATTTTTATATCTACATGAAAAACATCATTTTGTGGAATAAAAAACCCAGAACTATAATAATTTACATTTAAACTTCTCCATGTGCTCTTTTACATTAGGTCAGTTTATACAGTATCTTCTATCTCTTTTACTTTGGGAAGAAAACACTATTAGTTTATTTACTAAATGGTGAAGTGTAGCAAATTGAAAACTAAATTTGAAAATTCAGGGTAAAACTACCAAGATTTAATGGCAGCTGAGTAAGGTTTTTAAAGTTCACCTCTTTTTGCCTAAATATTGCAAATCAGTTTCCAATTCACTACAATTCACTGCTTAGTAAATAAACCAATATTAATGTGTTTAAATCAGTTTAATATACAGGGGAAGCAAAATAGGGAAGGTATTCTTTTTTTTTTGGGGGGGGGGGATAATGGGGGTAGGAAAATGGGGTCTAGATTTTACAGTGCAGAACACATCATGACCCTCTAACCCTCCAGTGCTGGTGGTACGAGAAAAGAAAAATGGAAATCTCCTTTGTAAATTCAAAATACCATATTCTGAGAAAGTGAAACTGAATTATATTAAAAACAAACAAAATGGTGGAGAGAGGTTATGTTGGGAGAGACTGCATTGAGTGATGCGGTGTTGGGAGAGACCGCATTGAGTGATGCTGTGTTGGGAGAGACCGCATTGAGTGATGCTGTGTTGGGAGAGACCACATTGAGTGATGCTGTGTTGGGAGAGACCACATTGAGAGATGCTGTGTTGGGAGAGACCACATTGAGAGATGCTGTGTTGGGAGAGACCGCATTGAGTGATGCTGTGTTGGGAGAGACCACATTGTGTGATGCTGTGTTGGGAGAGACCACATTGAGAGATGCTGTGTTGGGAGAGACCACATTGAGAGATGCTGTGTTGGGAGAGACTGCATTGAGTGATGCGGTGTTGGGAGAGACCACATTGAGTGATGCTGTGTTGGGAGAGACCACATTGAGTGATGCTGTGTTGGGAGAGACTGCATTGAGTGATGCTGTGTTGGGAGAGACCGCATTGAGAGATGCTGTGTTGGGAGAGACCGCATTGAGTGATGCCATGCAGGGAGGTGACATGTTTAAGTGAGTAGTAAAAGCTATTTTGTCAATATTTAAGACAAAGAAACGTATTGCAAGACGACGGATTCTCACTATCAATATAAAAAAACCTGATTGCATCTATTATTATTATTATTATTATTATTGTTGTTTCTATATGATAAAGACAGAACCAGATAACATTTTAGACTGTTCCAGTCCTTTAAACGAGTGGTTCCTCAATCTTTTTTGGACCAAGGCCAACCTTAGTGAGTGGATATTTCCAGGTGTACCATCAGTATACATGAGGTTATAAATCTCCTGCTATGGAAATGTTAATCTGCCTGTTCTCCATTTTCTTTGTGTTTGGATTGTAACATTTTATCTTTAATCAAAGTGTTTTTCTTTTTTAGATTCTGTGTGTAATAACTGTTACCACATTGACAACGTAACACTGGCCGGCGTGATCATAGGGGACGTCCTGTTAACAATAATTATAATCTTGATTGTATATTTTTGCACTAAGCAGACCTTCCAAAAACGTGCAGCTTCTGGTAGGTAACAAGGTCTGAGCAAGCGGGGCACTATTTAGCTAATACAGGCGTCCACTTCATGGCTTATCGACTTCTGTCAAAAAGTAATTCTGAATGCCTGTCAGGGAATTCTGGGTAACGTAGGTCATCTCTAACTGTGGGGACACATTAGAATATCCTTGCCATAGAGAATAAAAATGACTGGTCCATTCCTCAAAATATACAAGGTCATTTAGTGGGAGGAGCATTAAAGCCCATTTTCAGGACCATTCATGTCAGGGGATGAAGGCTGTAACTCCAAATATACACAGAGGGTTCAATTACACAGCACTGAGGTCAATATTGTAAGTAAACATGAGAGATCTTTTGTCAGATAGCTGGTAACAGTGAAATATGACATTTAGAGTTACTGGACACACTGGATTTCATGTCCCAATTAGACAGCTCAAATACATTTTATTATTCCATTGCCCAAATTTTAAAAAAATCCCTAAAAATTATGATTTAGTAGATATACTCCTAATGAAAACAGTCATGTGTCCTGTGGTGTCCAATCACAGACTTCCCAATGCAGCTCAATGAGCAGTCTTTGCAAGGCAGGTGCTCTGGGCAATTGCTGCCTCTTGAGTTTATCTCCAATGAGCTATACAACAAGGAAATAATAGGACTGGGTGTCTGATTGACAGCTAGGGGGGTGTAACCAGGTTAATTTATAAAAGTGCCATTTTCTATTGAAATCTGAACTTTTTGTAAAATGAAATAAAGAGGACACACTCCTCCCACATAAAGCTTTTCAGCAAGTTAAACTGCTTTAGCGGTATGGATTGTCCCCTTTAAGATATACTGCATAACCCTGATTGTATGAGCCAGTTTAAAGATGTTAAGATGCTGATGGAAGAGGATTGTGATTCTTATGTTTAAGGGTTACATCATTGGTAAAGCAGGTTGGTCACAGTACATTGATAGAGGCTCCATTTCTACCAACTGATGTCATCCTTCCCACAAGTCTCCTCTCAATGAATTCATTCCTAAAATAATATAAATCAATCAAATCCAAACCATGAAAGGAAATATTTGGGTATTTCAATTTGTAACAATATAACAGTAACTTACAATACAGCAATCAATATAACACATTGTAACAATGTAACAGCAATCAATATAACACATTGTAACAATGTAACAGCGATTAATATAACCCATTGTAACAGTGATTAATAGTGCACGTTGTAACAATGTAACAGCGATCAATATAACACATTGTAACAATGTAACAATGATTAATATTACACAATGTAACACTGATTAATATTACACATTGCAATATTGATTAATATGTGCGTTGTAACAATGTAACAACAAGTAATATAACACATTGTAACAATGTAACATCGATTAATATTGCACATTGTGAAAGCGATTAATAGTGCACGTTGTAACAGCGATTAATACTACACATTGTAACACTGTAACAGTGATTAATACTACACATTGTAACAATGTAACAGCGAATAATATGGTAATATAAAATAAGTCATATAACACATTGCTACAATGTAACAGCACGATCTAACTATTGTGTCCCTAGAAGAGAAGAAAATTTACATGAACATGCCGACCAGATAGACGCCGTCATTGGCTCCCATATCTTCTACTGACACCACGCAGAAACCATTTTTGCTTTATTCCATCTCTGAAATCTGCAAACAGGACTTGGATACATAATTTTTCTGATTTAATAAGGCGCTATCAGAGCCCATCCAGGCAACCAAGCTCTTCTAGAAGACAGAGCAGGTCACCAAACTATAGATATTGGTCATTTCCGTAACTTAGCTATAGCACAAGGTCAATTATAAATGCTGTATAGATCCAGTTACAGCGCATGCACAACCTTAATACACAATAATTCATAAATGAAGTCCAGGTGAGGGTTCCATTGTGCCATTCACAGTCACTTATTTCATGCCAATGCTGGTGTCTAATCAATCTGAGTTTTGGTGGAGTCCATTAATGGCCATTGATCATGATTAAGCTGACTTTTCTTGTGCCATGTCTGCTAAGCCTGCATTGTACAAAATCCAGAACATCATACTCACCTTTAAGAAACAAGTCACAGGAGATAAGGTCTACCAACGCTGGTCCTGCAGAATTTCAGGGCACGTCCTCTAGAGTCACGAAAATGTATTCCAGGGGTTTGTGTTATCCAAGAAGAAAGGGGTTCATTGGAGATGTTTAATCTACACAACTATCTTGACCAATGGTGGACATGTCGTTAATCTGAAAGAAAGTAATTTCTCTTTGATAAATCCCAGTCATTCAGCTGTTAATTCCAGAAATGTGACCCTCGTTATATTCTTAGAATGGTTAAAGTAATATTTTTTTCTGTTAATTTTAAACTCCTAACAATAATTCACAAATCCTGCAACCCATGGTAATATATATTAAACACATATTTAGAAACATTTCTGTGATTATTCTATAGCTGTACATTTGTATGAATATATAGAGTTGAAAAGAAAAATTGTGCTAATTCCGTTTTTACTTTTTTATTGATTTTCCAAATAATATATATTTAATAAAGTTACATTTAATGCATTTATTTATTCTACATTACGCCATTAACACAGCGATTTTCCAAGGATAGTAGACCTACTAAATACAGTCTTTCATTCTGTTTTTATCTTCTTTCACCATTCACATATAAGGACTTAGGTGTATTCTATATAATCACTTATTTATGTTTACTTTACATATAAACAGAGCAGGTAAACCTGATTGATATTTTAATGGTGCTCAAAGTTACAAAACATTATCTCTGATAAGGAATGTTTAGAAAAAATTGTTGTACACCAAGATTGTGAATTGAGTAACAACTGAATAAACTGTGAGTATAAACTCTCTGTGAGTAACTGTCAGGATCTTACCTGGAGGTCGGAGTCCGAAGTGCAGGGTGAAGGCACACCCTTGCAGTTTAACACGAACCGAGGAGACCCTAGGAAGACATCTCCAAGGTTGTGAAACAATGCACTGGGGCTTTGCAGGAAAAGTAGTCCTGGATACACAGAACAGACAAAGGAATTCAAATAGAGTAGTCAGGTATGGATCCAACGGTCAGGGCAGGCGGGAATCAGGCAAATTCGATAAACAGTTCCGAAGGTCAAATTAGGAGTCAGATGTACAGGAACAAATCGATCTGACCAGGATGAAGTGGCAAGACAGGGCTTATAATGGATGCAAATTAGCCACTTAATCAGGAACCACGAGCAGGTGTGAAGTAGTCCAGGCTTAAAAATGCAGACATCATAGCAAGAGAAATTAACTTGAATTAACATGAGAAGTGGCAAAAAGGTAATGAACCAGAGTATCACCGCCACGGATGCCCTTTCCCCCCCAAAAAAAAGTATGATATGAGTAACAGTATAAACACAGTATGATCTGAGTAACAGTATAAACATAGTATGATCTGAGTAACAGTGTAAACATATTATGGTGTGAGTAACAGTATAAACATAGTTTGGTGTGAGTAACAGTATAAACATAGTATGATCTGAGTAACAGTATAAACATAGTATGGTGTGAGTAACAGTATAAACATAGTATGGTGTGAGTAACAGTATAAACACAGTATGATCTGAGTAACAGTGTAAACATAGTATGGTGTGAGTAACAGTATAAACATAGTATGATCTGAGTAACAGTGTAAACATAGTATGGTGTGAGTAACAGTATAAACATAGAATGATCTGAGTAACAGTGTAAACATAGTTTGGTGTGAGTAACAGTGTAAACATAGTATGGTGTGAGTAACAGTATAAACATAGTATGATCTGAGTAACAGTATAAACATAGAATGATCTGAGTAACAGTGTAAACATAGTTTGGTGTGAGTAACAGTGTAAACATAGTATGGTGTGAGTAACAGTATAAACACAGTATGATCTGAGTAACAGTATAAACATAGTATGATCTGAGTAACAGTGTAAACATAGTTTGGTGTGAGTAACAGTGTAAACATAGTATGGTGTGAGTAACAGTATAAACACAGTATGATCTGAGTAACAGTATAAACATAGAATGATCTGAGTAACAGTGTAAACATAGTTTGGTGTGAGTAACAGTGTAAACATAGTATGGTGTGAGTAACAGTATAAACACAGTATGATCCGAGTAACAGTATAAACATAGTATGGTGTGAGTAACAGTATAAACACAGTATGATCTGAGTAACAGTGTAAACATATTATGGTGTGAGTAACAGTATAAACACAGTATGATCTGAGTAACGGTGTAAACATATTATGGTGTGAGTAACAGTATAAACACAGTATGATCTGAGTAACGGTGTAAACATATTATGGTGTGAGTAACATTATAAACATATTATGGTGTGAGTAACAGTATAACACGGTATGATCTGAGTAACAGTATAAACACAGTATGATCTGAGTAACAGTATAAACACAGTATGATCTGAGTAACAGCGTAAACATAGTATGATCTGAGTAACAGTATAACACAGTATGGTGTGAGTAACAGTGTAAACACAGTATGATCTGAGTAACAGTATAAACATAGTATGGTGTGAGTAACAGTATAAACACAGTATGATCTGAGTAACAGTATACACACAGTATGGTGTGAGTAACAGTGTAAACATATTATGGTGTGAGTAACAGTATAACACGGTATGATCTGATTAACAGTGTAAACAAAGTATGATCTGAGTAACAGTATAAACACAGTATGATCTGATTAACAGTGTAAACATAGTATGATCTGAGTAACAGCGTAAACATAGTATGATCTGAGTAACAGCGTAAACATATTATGGTGTGAGTAACAGTATAAACATAGTTTGGTGTGAGTAACAGTATAAACACAGTATGATCTGAGTAACAGTATAAACACAGTATGATCTGAGTAACAGTGTAAACACAGTATGATCTGAGTAACAGTATAAACATAGTATGATCTGAGTAACAGTATAAACACAGTATGATCTGAGTAACAGTATAAACACAGTATGATCTGAGTAACAGTGTAAACACAGTATGATCTGAGTCACAGTATAAACACAGTATGATCTGAGTAACAGTATAAACACAGTATGATCTGAGTAACAGTATAAACATAGTATGATCTGAGTAACAGTATAAACACAGTATGATCTGAGTAACAGTATAAACACAGTATGATCTGAGTAACAGTATAAACACAGTATGATCTGAGTAACAGTATAAACACAGTATGATCTGAGTAACAGTATAAACACAGTATGATCTGAGTAACAGTATAAACACAGTATGATCAGAGTAACAGTATAAACATAGTATGATCTGAGTAACAGTGTAAACACAGTATGGTGTGAGTAACAGTATAAACACAGTATGATCTGAGTAACAGTATAAACACAGTATGATCAGAGTAACAGTATAAACACAGTATGATCTGAGTAACAGTATAAACACAGTATGATCTGAGTAACAGTGTAAACACAGTATGATCTGAGTAACAGTATAAACACAGTATGATCTGAGTAACAGTATAAACACAGTATGAGCTGAGTAACAGTATAAACACAGTATGATCTGAGTAACAGTATAAACATAGTATGATCTGAGTAACAGTATAACACAGTATGATCTGAGTAACAGTGTAAACACAGTATGATCTGAGTAACAGTATAAACACAGTATGATCTGAGTAACAGTGTAAACACAGTATGATCAGAGTAACAGTATAAACATAGTATGATCTGAGTAACAGTATAAACATAGTATGATCTGAGTAACAGTATAAACATAGTATGGTGTGAGTAACAGTATAAACATAGTATGATCTGAGTAACAGTATAAACATAGTATGATCTGAGTAACAGTATAAACATAGTATGATCTGAGTAACAGTATAAACACAGTATGATCTGAGTAACAGTATAAACATAGTATGATCTGAGTAACAGTATAAACACAGTATGATCTGAGTAACAGTATAAACATAGTATGATCTGAGTAGTATAAACATAGTATGATCTGAGTAACTGTTGCGGCTCCCGGCCCGCTGCATGGCGCAGCTGTGTCCGACCGACACGACCTCGCTGATATTGCAAGCTTACCTGCTCGCCGGGAACCGCTCCTCCACATCTTCTGGGCGTCGCACCCAAATTAAAGATGGCGCTGACCACGTGGTCGCGAGCATCACAAGCCCCGCCCCTAAAATGTATACGGACGTGTGTGTGAGAGCAATCAGAGCCCAGAGAGGGATATTTAAATCCCTAATTCACTCCAGTTCTTTGCCCTGTCGTGGTTTCCTGTTCCTGGTTCCCGAGAGTGTGTTTATCTTTGTGAATCTGATTTCCTGGTATCCTGATCTTGGCTTTTCCCTGGTTATTCCGAATTCTGGTTCCCATGACTTGGCTTGTTTAAACGGTATAAACGTAGTATGGTGTGAGTAACAGTGTAAACATAGTATGATATGAGTAACAGTATAAACATAGTATGGTGTGAGTAACAGTGTAAACATAGTATGGTGTGAGTAACAGTATAAACATATTATGGTGTTAGTAACAGTGTAAACATAGTATGATCTGAGTAACAGTATACACATAGTATGGTGTGAGTAACAGTAGAAACATAGTATGGTGTGAGTAACAGTAGAAACATAGTATGGTGTTAGTAACAGTGTAAACATAGTATGGTGTGAGTAACAGTATAAACATATTATGGTGTTAGTAACAGTGTAAACATAGTATGATCTGAGTAACAGTATACACATAGTATGGTGTGAGTAACAGTAGAAACATAGTATGGTGTGAGTAACAGTAGAAACATAGTATGGTGTTAGTAACAGTGTAAACATAGTATGGTGTGAGTAACAGTATAAACATATTATGGTGTTAGTAACAGTGTAAACATAGTATGATCTGAGTAACAGTATACACATAGTATGGTGTGAGTAACAGTAGAAACATAGTATGGTGTGAGTAACAGTAGAAACATAGTATGGTGTTAGTAACAGTGTAAACATATTATGGTGTGAGTAACAGTATAAACACAGTATGATCTGAGTAACAGTGTAAACACAGTATGATCTGAGTAACAGCGTAAACACAGTATGATCTGAGTAACAGTATAAACATATTATGTGTGAGTAACAGTATAACACAGTATGGTGTGAGTATCAGTGTAAACACAGTATGATCTGAGTAACAGTATAAACATAGTATGGTGTGAGTAACAGTATAAACACAGTATGATCTGAGTAACAGTGTAAACATATTATGGTGTGAGTAACAGTATAAACATATTATGGTGTGAGTAACAGTATAACACAGTATGGTGTGAGTATCAGTGTAAACACAGTATGATCTGAGTAACAGTATAAACATAGTATGGTGTGAGTATCAGTGTAAACACAGTATGATCTGAGTAACAGTATAAACACAGTATGGTGTGAGTATCAGTGTAAACACAGTATGATCTGAGTAACAGTGTAAACATATTATGGTGTGAGTAACAGTATAACACGGTATGGTGTGAGTAACAGTATAAACACAGTATGATCTGATTAACAGTGTAAACATAGTATGATCTGAGTAACAGTATAAACACAGTATGATCTGAGTAACAGTATAAACACAGTATGATCTGAGTAACAGTATAAACATAGTATGATCTGAGTAGTATAAACATAGTATGATCTGAGTAACTGTTGCGGCTCCCGGCCCGCTGCATGGCGCAGCTGTGTCCGACCGACACGACCTCGCTGATATTGCATCTTACCTGCTCGCCGGGAACCGCTCCTCCACATCTTCTGGGCGTCGCACCCAAATTAAAGATGGCGCTGACCACGTGGTCGCGAGCATCACAAGCCTTGCCCCTAAAATGTAT